ATCCATTGTGTTATGCTTTTGTTTCTAAACGGTAAGAGGTTGATATTTTGAATGTACAGTATGCATGCAACCATTTCTTTTATGAAAATCATGTGGGTGATAGAGGAAGCATTTCGTAAGAGGTCTAACTTCCTGTTCTACTCCAGCTACAGGAGGTAATATAAGGAAATCTTGAAACCCTCATTGTCTCATAACCATCTAAGACAGCCGAGTTGAGCCATTTATCCTCAACTCAATGGGTTGCACTGCCATTGTTTCCATCCAGATTCCTGAGTAAACACAATGGTTGTAATGGGTAAAAACCATTCAACACTTCAGGAATGAGAGGCATTTTACATATATCACATATAACATTCAGAGCATCTGTTACTATGTCAGTCTCCTCCCCAGGATTGACTGGACTAACATTTTCAAAAGTAGATGGCACTGTGCCTCTGTAGTGTGGTCATGGAAAGAAATTAGGGCAATTTACAAATTCCTATTTTCTTGCCACTATAATCTAATGGAAACACAGAACCTTAATCAAACAATGTAATTCAGCATGGTAAATAACATAATTTCTGCTCTCTGGGTATTTCAAGGTCTGCGTAATTTACTTACAGTTTAAAGGTGTTCCCCATTATTCTAAAATAAACAGTGTGGGTTTTCAAATACATGATGTTATTACTAATGCCTTACAGGACATGTTCTGTCAGAAATATTGGAAACAGATGTGGACTTAAGAATCTCTAGCTATTACAGCTTGTGAAGAATGCATTGACAATTAAACCTGATTCATGTACATAAGAAAGCTGGAATTCAAGGAGTTTCAGTTGTTTCACAGTTAAGGAATGCTCCCAGACAACCATCCTGGTAGTCCACTTGTTCTCCATCATGGTATTTTGCTAGAAGGCCTGATCCTTCTTATGACACAATAAGTAGTTTTGATTTTTACAGGTGTGTGTAATTCTGAAAGAGTTCCAAATTCCATATTTTGCTGTATCTAATATGAAAGAAACAAGTGTTTTCTTCTGTGTAGTTAACGAGCAAAAGATTCTAAAATGTCCTAAAACATAAGCAGTCAGCTTTAAATACACTGCTGTACAAGCTATACAATGAAAAATAATTTGGTTTAGACATTGGAAAATTATTTCAATGCAATGTGAAGTTTCTGAGATATGAAGTAAAGACACATCTAGATTTTTGTAAATGTCATTTAGATGTTACAGGGTTATTTTTATAATAAGCATGTTACAGTGAGCTCATTTCCCTGATCGCTCAGGAGCATGTCAGGGGCAGGTCTATTGGTTCAGTGGGTCTGGTGCTCATTTAAGCAGTGCAGCTGAGCACGAGGTGGGACAGTAGTAAAAAAGCTAAATGAAAATATTAAAATGTATAATATTTTCATTCTCATTCTAAATGAGAATAAATCTCATTTAGAATATTATTTTATTCTATATAGGATATTTCTGTTCTCATATCAATCCAGAGCAACAATAGACAGTGCATTCAAGCTTAAGTTCATGCAGGCTCAAGTGAATCTTTTTAAATATTAAAAACCGTCAAGGGTACTGACAAAGACAGCCCAGTGGATTCCTTCAGAATAAACAGTGAAATGTGAACTAGAGTACAAAAGTGTCATATACAGGGAAATGCATTTAAAACTAAGATCAGGAAACTTTTTTATGCAAAGTTTCGTAATTACCTACTGTCATGTCATTGAAGACGATGCCTTAGATACCTTCAAGACGCAGCTACAGTAGATGAGATCATCAGATTATTTAGTTTCTATCTACCAGATGATCTAGAAGGGCCGAATAGATTCCTCTGAACAGATATGGTGCAACAACAACTCGGTACTTTTCCACATGCAGCCTGATCTTGTACTGAAGTCTGCTGGGACATATAGTCTTTCTTCATGTCCTACCCTGAGGAAAAACTGCAGTGTCTCTTTTTTTCTTTTATTTCTTAGTGTGTTAGGCATGCAGTACTGGATTTCTGGGGCTCCACAATATACAAGAACCATCTGAAATCTTTCCCAGTCTCTCAGCACCTCTGTAATTTCATGTAAAGCAGGAATATAACATCTTTTCCTTGCTAGCAAAACATTAACATACTCTTGCTGCAGTTATACATTTAAGAATTAAGATGGGTCCTTATAAGTAAGCAGTGGGAAAGAAAGACTAGTAAGAGAAGAAAATGACAAGTTTTTGTGATATACACCAACTTTTTTAAAGACTTTTGCTATGCAAGAACAGTTATCTAGCAATAACATGCTCTTTTAAGCAATTTTAACCTTTCTTAGGTCATTTTCAAAGTAGTGGTATTATTATTATTAATTATTATTAATAATTATTATTTACACTTACTGTATATAGTGCTTTACTGGACACCACTCAAAGTGATTTACAGTTAATGGGAAGTCCACTCCACCACCACCAATGAATGATGCGACAGCAGCCCAAGTGCACCAGTAGGCTTAGCTCTCAGTGGGGAGGAGAATAAAGTGATGTAGCCGATTCATAGATGGGGATTATTAGGAGGCCATTGCCAAAGGCCAATGGGAAGTGTATCTAGGACGTCAAGTTTACACACCTCACACCTACTGTTTTCAAGAAGTGCCCTGGTATTTTTAATGACTGCATAGCGTAAGGACCTTGGTTTTACATCTCATCCAAAGGACGATTCCTTTTTACAGCATGGTGCCTCCTACAGGCCCCACTAACAACTCTTCCAGCAACAACCTTAAATTTTCCCAGAACATCTCCTATCCAGGAACTGGCAAGGCTCACATCTGCTAAGCTTCAGTGGGTTGCCAATTGAGATAAGATGAGTGCTGGGGTTCTTTACATTGTAATAGCGTCATCCAGAGTTATTACTCACGATCTTCAGCATTTCAAAAAATTGGCATTTCAAGGCACTTTTTACAGTACGTGTTGCTACATCATAGTTCAAGCGATCTGAAGGATGTGGAATCTTTGACCAAAAGCAAACACTGAAAGCACATAATTGTATAAAAATGAGCATACAGTAGGTTACAGTGCTGCATCAATTTTCTAACCACTTCTTCCAATTGGAGTCATAGCCTACCCTGGCAAGCAACAGGTGCAAGGCAAAAGTACACTGTAGTCTGGACATCTGTCCATCTCAGGGCACTACACAGAAAAGCACATACACCTAGGGACAATTTTACACCTAGAAGTCAATTAACCTACCAGTATGTTTTTGGACTGGAGGAAGAAACCAGAGCACCTGGAGGAAACCCACACAAACACATGGAGAAGATAGGAACTCCGTGCAGACAGGTCCCCGGGTCTGGAAATGAACCCAGGACACCCAGCACTGCAAGACAGTAATGCCAACCACCGTGCCACCAAGCTGCCTTCTGCAACAATTTCAATAATAACCTCAGTTTAAAATGATCTGACTTTCTCTTGAGTTGGAATTCACAAGCCACAGTATGAAATTGTCATCAGTGAAGTCCTCTTTCAGCGTTTTGACATATCTGCAATACTGTGATTCCTGCTGTGAATAACAATACCTTTAGTAACTGGAATGCAGAGGCTAAGTACCTTTTGACAGTTCATCTTTTTTGCTGCTTGTTTTCTCTCATTTTCAAACAATATTTGTTTGCTTTTTATTACATTCTATACTGGGAACAGTGACAGCAATATTGGCCAGTGAAAGAATTATCATAACAGGAGGTTTATCTGAAAATAATTGCTTAGCAGGAAAAAAAAAAACATAAGCTCACCGAGCCATAAACACTTTCTGTCATAAAGGGGACCCTAAGGTTTGTTTAATGGTGCAAGTCCCTGCGATGTCCTCCCAGCCTTGCCTAATGTTGCGTAGAATCTGTTTATTGATAAAGGACTGAAGTTCTGCATTGCCAGTGCTGCACAGAGCTGTAATAAGCTTGCATGTTCTTCACAGAAAGTACATTCAAATGGGAAATTCCATCTATAACGTTCAATTTCCCAGAGGAAAGAACATTTATTTCCGTGTCCTTTTCTTATCTATTTTGGATCCTCATTTGCCTAATTACTATTCGTAGGCTGGAGAGGGCTGCTCTGCAGCACATAGTTCTGCTGACTGCAGAAACGCTACCTGGCACACTGAGTTAGTGCGTCAGCATTCTAGGTAGGAATGAATGAAAAATCAATCAGTGTGACTGCAGTGCTAGCCCTCACAACTCTAACCTAGTTTGTGTATGGGTCTCTACATACCCCTTTCAGGTGCAAGTACTCCTTAAGATGGTAAGTTAATATTCATATACAGTATATATAGCTATAGATTTTAATTCAACCACAGAAAATGTTGACAGGGTGAAATTACATCCAGTAATCTCTGTTCTGCAAGTTTATCTTATCTTTACAAACTGAAAAGAGCATTGCATTCGCGTTGGGTTGTTTTATTTTGCTAGTGGGGACTGTTGTTTCAGATATTTGTTGTTAGTGCTTCATAAAAGGGTACCGGTTCCAAAGGAGCTTAAGAAAATGTATTTTTTAATACTGAAATTTAAGTTTGACATTTTATAGCTGTGCTAATCAAATATTCACACAGACAAACATCATATTGGTTTTCTTCTGCTGTTAGTGTTGCTTTGGCTCACTTTATATGATATATTACTTGTATGTTACGTATTACTCAGTATTGCATTGACTTTGAAGGGCACAGTCAGGACTGCATTCTATCGCAATCCTTTAGTGCACTGGGATTGTACTGCAGCTGAAAATGTGTGTGTATGTGTGTGAGCACACTGTAGAGGGGTGAAGTAATATATAAGTGTGCTTGCATTTCGTGTAGCAGATATACATATACTTAATGTGCAGAATGCAGTAACAGCCCCCTGGGATAATGCTGTAACTAAGACCTGTTTAAAAAAGGTACTGTGAAGAAGTTTAACAAAGTTAAAACCTGAACATGGCACAACAGTTTTAAGCCTATTCATCGCATGCAGAAGTGCTACTTAATGTTTACATTTCTGTATTTTTTCTGTGGATTGCTTTTTCCTTTTGCAGTGAAAGGACCCTTGGTGCTATAAAAATGAACTCGCTGCTTCTGTTTGCATTGTTTTCCCTGTGCCTGGCTGATAGCTATGATCATACTTACACAGACCTGGAGCACCACAGAACCATCTACATATCAGGTAAGTGATTTTGTTTTATCGTGGAAAGGGAGCTATGTTTTGTACTTGCATTTGTATAATTGTATTTCTACATTGGGATAGTTGTGTATTCCATGTGGACTGCATATAGGACTGCAGTAAGGCATCTAGTTGATGCAGCAACCATAAAACATATTCTAATTTCTGAGGTTTTAATTTCAGGATGAATTGAATTGTTCCCATGACTCTATCACTGTGAGTATTTGCCAAAATCACCATTGTTACAAAAAAATTAATGTTAAATAATGTCAATGTTATTATAAATACATTATGATATAACAGTCCAATTTTACTTTTTTTGTATATGAGTTGTCTGTGATGTCACCAATGATTAGATCTGATTTAGAAATTCAAGAGCCAGTGCAGCACATGCCACAGTGTCTTTGAATGGAAGACATTAACAGCTGCAAATGGATATGAATGCAACATAATTTAATCAAATATCTTGGTTTAAATCCAGACCTTTTCCCAAGTTTCCAAAGAGAGAAATCTGGGCAAAGGAATAGCCTAAAGAGTTGTTGTTTAAGGAAGAAGGTAGATAAGGGTAGAAATGAAGCTGACAAAAGTCTTGAAAGCAAATATGAACACGAGCAACAATTTAGAATTGTCAGCTTTCAGAAGTTCTAGAAGCGAACTGGGCGTCACACCATGTGGCTGCAGGGTCTTGTTCTTGTAAAACCTCTCATAAAGATTAAAACACTCGGATTATGCCCCTTCTTTTATCTGAATATCCACCGGAAGATATACTGTAGAAGGGAAACATTGTATTGTATATGCATCAGAATTTAATATGTAACATATAATTTATGTTTTCTAGCTTTTTTGACTGTTGTGTATATTTGTAGTTTAGTTATCAGATCCCAGGGAATTATGAAGTAATACAGTTAGCTGTTGCCTGGTACTCTGGTGCATTGGGAAATACATGCTCTCTGATTCACAGACCCCCAGTATGGGGGTCCAGACTTATGGTCTAAATTTACTAAACCCGGCATCTGCAAACATTTTAGCAGTGGAAAAAAAAAACTTTTTTGGATTTTAAAAACTATTTTATCCATGTTGATATCAGCCACAATAATCCGGCTTTCAAAACCAAAACAACTTATTCACTCTCCCCGATTGCTCCCTGATTATACCACAGATTGACTAGACAGTATTGTGGACAAAGTGTAATAGTCGCGTGCTTTCATGTGGTTTTATGAAACAAACTTAACAGATTTGATTTACAGGACGGATAAATATAGGGCACAGCCAAGAAATTTGATCTACCGCACCAGTGGGGATTGTCACTAAACTGTTGAAGCCCTGTAGTGTAAGGAGTTTCACCATATGCTTACTGTGACCTTCAGTAATTGTTGTTAAAGGAAAGATTCAGTGGCTGATAGAAATGGTACAGCTGCAGCAGTCCTGCTGACACAGAGTACAATATTTGCTATGTAGGACCCTTTCAATTCAGGATCTCTGGTGGTTAAAGCTGTTCTGGCCAGTTTGGTACTTAGTAGCTATTGATCCAAGGATGTCAACCAGCCATTTCCACTTGGAGCTCAGTATTTGTTGCATTGAATTCTGTATTTTGAATTCTGGAAATTAGTCATCCAGAGAAATCAGAATTTTGAAGGAAGAATTACAGTGATTAAAAGGGGGAAATCATTAAACTGCTCCAATATTTCTCCAAATAATATTAATCTACATGTTCTGTTCTTTGAAAACCATACACCTGATTTCCAAGGCACATTTTTAGTGTAGAACAAAAAGTGCCAACGGAGTCATTTTAGCTTGCATGCTGGAATTCTGGGTTTGTGATGATGACATTTTAAATGTCATCATTCCCTTCTTCAAATTTATAAAAGTTCAGTGCATGTCACTTCATTATTACAGGGTCAGTTCAAAGAACATAAGAGCGTTTTTCAGGAAAAAAATTAGCTTAGATCTTAAGCGATGTGTTTTGTGCATTTTGATTTTTCATTGGCACGAGAACTCTTAATATAGTACTGCAAAATCCAGTAAGTCACAAGGAGAGAGTGGTACACAATTGGTCTCAGACTGGAACTGGTCTAACAGGGACCCTGACAGTTAACATACTGTAAGCTTGTCTGTTAGCTGGTGTTCCTGTCTGTGGTGAAGTGGTTGCACGAGGCAAGAGAAGTTACAGTGTGTTTCCACAAAGGAGCTGAAAAAGAGAGAGAGAAGGTAGACACACCCTGTTGGGGGAGTAATGGTCCCTGTGTGGGGGACATTAAAAGGAAAAGGAAACCCTCTGCTGGAGAAAGGATGACCTCCTCTATCCTTCTGTTTCACGTGGCTCCCAAACGTGGTAAGGAGAAGGATCTTTCACGGAGGGAGGGATCAGAGTAAACTAATTGCGAGATGTATCTTGAGGTAAACTGCTTCATTGTAAATGGAAACCGCAGGTGCAGCTGCCATTATGGTTGAAGTGTTGCCTGTGCAGATTTGCTGGGACTACATTCTGGAAAAGGGAACGACTGGTGGAAAAATCCAAATGTGTTCCTCCTTAGTGCCATACGATTATTTCATTGGGATGTTCATTGTATCGCCAAGTCAAAAAAAAATAATAATAACACTTAATGAAACTACAATGTAGAAATTGCCAAATGAACACAGACTTTACAAACTTTAATGAGGTTGTCAGGATGTGCATATCAGGAGGAGTTGTGAACTTTTTAAAATATTGTAATTGTAAAGGATGGATTGTAAAGGAGTTTTGTTGCGTATTGTTGTCATTGTTAGAGACCTCTCAAAGTAATTTAATTTACACATTCTTTCAAGTGCTATTTATAAATTGTATTATAAATATAACAATTATATATAAATATAACAATTGTTTATTTTTTGCATGCACTTGAAAGAATGTGTAAATTAAATTACTTTGAGAGGTCTGTGTTCATTTGGCAATTTCTACATTGTAGTTTCATTAAGTGTTATTATTATTTTTTTTGACTTGGCGATACAATGAACATCCCAATGAAATAATCGTATGGCACTAAGGAGGAACACATTTGGATTTTTCCACCAGTCGTTCCCAGCAAATCTGCACAGGCAACACTTCAACCATAATGGCAGCTGCACCTGCCGTTTCCATTTACAATGAAGCAGTTTACCTCAAGATACATCTCGCAATTAGTTTACTCTGATCCCTCCCTCCGTGAAAGATCCTTCTCCTTACCACGTTTGGGAGCCACGTGAAACAAAAGGATAGAGGAGGTCATCCTTTCTCCAGCAGAGGGTTTCCTTTTTCTTTTAATGTCCCCCACACAGGGACCATTACTCCCCCAACAGGGTGTGTCTCTCTCTCTTTTTCAGCTCCTTTGTGGAAACACACTGTAACTTCTCTTGCCTCGTGCAACCACTTCACCACAGACAGGAACACCAGCTAACAGACAAGCTTACAGTATGTTAACTGTCAGGGTCCCTGTCAGACCAGTTCCACTCTGAGACCAATTGTGTACCACTCTCTCCTTGTGACTTATTTTGCAGTACAATATTAAGAGTTCTCGTGCCAATGAAAAATCAAAATGCACAAAACACATCGCTTAAGATTTAAGCTCATCGTTTTCTGAAAAACGCTCTTATGTTCTTTGAATTGACCCTGTAATTATGAAGTGACATGCACTGAACCTTCATAAATTTGAAGAAAGGAATGATGTCATTTAAAATGTCATCATCACAAACACAGAATTCAAGCATGCAAGCTAAAATAACTCTATTGGTACATTTTTTTTTCCATTGCAAAACTTCATTTCTAGAACATTTCCAGATGATTGTGATCTGAAGACCAGCATGCAATCAGCTAGTTTTACATGAATATAGAGAAAACTGTAGGCAAGAGCGTTCCTGGCTGTCTTGCCCTTGGCTGAATAATGAAGGTGCAATGCAGAGCAGTGCAGACTCAGCTTCTAAAGCCATAGTTCAGTGTAGCTGGATATCTAGCACTTGAGCCCTTCAAGATTTGTGTCTTTTTCTTAGCCTGAAAGGATATGATTCAGAATCTTACTATGCTACTTATGCTTCAATTTTATATCTTTGTATTTACTTTGCTATTTACATGTTTGAACACATTCCCAGGTACTTTTAAGCTTCTGTGTAAGTTACATTCATTTCATGAAGAATAATGGCACGTCGTAGAAATGAAGTTTTGCAATGGAAAAAAATGATAACTAGCTTGCCCACAATGAAGATATTAAAGCAGTCTCCTATGTCAGCATGTGCTTTACTAAAACTCTCTTGCTATATCATGTGAAACAACCACCAAAACAATTATGCAGAATATGAAGTTAAAAATTAATTTGAATTACTATTTTTTTCAAGGCTCTGTGTCATTCTTCTCAAGCATCTTTTGTCTTATGAAATCTGAGAAACCTGTGGGATGCTGAGACTTTGGGTAGGGAGAAAATGTCAATGATAGTTCTTCATTAGTACCGGATAGAGAGAGAAGCTTTTCTTTCTAGAATGAAAAGCCTTTTTTCTCTGTTGTGAGAGCTTTTGACATGTGGCTTCTACCAGAGGATTCCCTTCATACCTTCACTCTCCCAGGACAGATAAATAGAGGACGCCACTGTTTGAGCAGTTGTTGGAGTAGTGGTCTCGATGGGCTGCGCTGTTACCTCTGCACATCTGTGACTCTTTTAGATTCACAAGCAACTGCCATCCCCTTTGGGCTGAAAACATCTTGAGAACCCTCTTAAATCAAGCTGTCACATCACAGTAGATCTCTTCAGGTCTCAGAAGCCAGGCAAGCCTGTGCCTGGTCAATATTGAGAAGGAAGAGCTCTAATGAACACCAAGTTGGTGCTGTAAGTGAGCAATTAGATTTCTCGTCCACAGTTTCCAAACCAATGTATTTGTGTGGTGACTGGGGACACTGTGCTACAGGAGTTGCTGTCCTTTGATTGAGATGTTAAACTGAGGTCCTGACTAATGTCCATGGTCATTAAAGGTCCCATGGCACTTTTTGTAGGATGAGGGGTATTATCCTCATGTCCTGGTTCATTTCCACTCTTGATTGAACAATTTAACCTGCCCTAAATTCACCCCTTAATTTAACCGGTGAAGTGATTTCTGAGTCCTGCTGCTGGGTAGTGCATGTATCCCATGCAAGTCATTTAAAAATGTTATTTATTGTTAGGTTTGTGGTTTCCTCTAGTGTTTATGAGTAACACAATTTAGTTACATGCAACATACTATTATTTTCTTGCCATGACATCTTTAATCATTTCTTAAATATTTAGGCATTTACCCTTTTTAGAATTAAGCACAATTAAATAGAACAGCCTACAGTAGAACAGCAGTTTAGGGGCTTACAAATCCAGATACAACACTAATTGGAAAACTATGAGAAAAACCTCCAATGGCCAGTGCTAATAAAAATTCTCATTTCCATAATTCACAGCGACTGCTTGCTCTTAAATAATGCTATAACACTGAAAGGCATTCCTTGTGGGAAATGTTAATTTACAAATACAGAAACTCCCTTTTCCATGCACAGCTGCACAATAAAATACAGAACACCATTCAACAAAGGGATCAGTTCAGCCTCAGTGCCTTTCAATTTACCCATCCATAATTTTATTTGTAAAGCACTCCAAACCAATAACAGCTATACAGCCCCACAATAAAGTTTACAACCTTCCTATAAAAAGTGGATGATGTATATTCCATTGTAGTCAACAATACCAATCAGAAACTGACTTCAGTCAAAAGGTCAGGACCCTGTCCAACAGGCTAGGAATCTAGCCAAACAGAACTCCTATCCATAAACAATCAGGTATGTGGATGGGCTTTTTGTTTACCTTACCTATATCATCACCATTATCACTGGCTGCTATTACAGTAGAAAGTGACACAGTGGTGCTAGCAGGGGCTCTGTTATATGGAGGCTGTTGCTCAGTGACCACTCAGTAATGTAGTACTGAGCTGTATAATATCAATTATAGCATGGTAGTAGTGCACAGCATTTAGTCACAAATTCTGTTAATTTAAAAATAAGTGAAACTGATAGCAGGCAATATTGAAATTAAACACAAGAATATGGTGCTTTTTTTTAGACTGCCAAAAACTCCATTGCACCCAATGAGGGCCTTAAGTGCTAGATATATAGTATGCTTCATGATGAAAGAAAACAACACAACACATTTCCTAATTTCTAATAGTCTTGATGCATAATGTCAGCAGCTGCTAGTTTCTTTTGGAGAAGGAACCTTCTTTTCTGTTGGTGCAATTTTGCTTTCTTGTTTTGGTCTTTGCTTTAGAATAATTTTGTTCTTTGATTATGAGATCCCATGGTATTTACCTTTCTGTTTCCCTTTGACAAACTTTTCTTTCTTCCAGAGAAGAAGAATTTTAGTACATGGCATTTAGAACAGCAATTGCATTTGCAAAATAAAGAATATTGTAATCCACTGGGGTGCAAGACAGATTAGTTTCCTTTCTTTCAAAGCATAGAAAAGCATTCCATTTGAATAAGGTCCATCTTTTGTGGTAAAATGTGATATGTTTATACAAAATATTGTTTCAAATTCTACTGTAAAATATAAAGATCCCTGTGCACTGGGGAATAAACCACCTGTGATATTTTTATTGCGTTCATCTTACAATATAAATCTTTTCAACATTTTCAATCATTCTGGGAAGCTGAATAGCTCAAGTCATTTAGACAATTTTGTCAGGTTAAGAACGTGAGAGGTAAGATTTTAAAGCAATTCACTGTTAGTGAATTAAGAGACCCAAGACAAAGTTGATTACATATAGCTGAGAGAACAAGGATTATTACTAAGTGTTTTAGAAATCCAGAACCTTTTGAATGAGAAACAAAATGATATTGATTTAATCACATCAGTAATTAAATCACCACTATAAAAATCATTTTTTTTATTAAGACAGCTGTGACATGTATAAATTAAAATTAACATGTCTCTTACCTAAATTAAATCAAGGTCACAGGGGCACTTTGAAGATGGAAGGACGCTACAGGGATATTTTAAGAGTCATTACTGTTTCTTCAAATTTCATGTGTATCTGAGAAAGCTCTTGGAAGAATTATTTTATGTATGGGGGTATTTTCATAACATTTTTCTACGGGCAATAAAGTGGTGTGAATTAGACCTCAACCTTTCACTTTTCAGAATTCATATTTCTCATTTTAGTTTCAATTCCAAACCCTGCCGTTCAGCACTTTCCAAACACCTGGTCACCTTGGCAGGAATGACAAAGCAGGTGCCTAAATCACAGGAGGCTTTAACAAGTCCCCAGAGATAAATGGTGTGCTAGGACATTGACAGACAAAATAGCCTGTCCTTATTATTAGCATTCCTGTAGTTCCTTTCAAAAACAGCCTTTGCAGTGTTCATTGTTTTTCATCAGTTGTGTAAATTGGAATGAGATTGGATGACTGAGGTGATTAGTGTGTGAAAAAATGTCTGTCTTCACCAGTTTGTTCCTGTGTTCATCTGTTTCTCTGTCCATGTGATGTGCTTCAGCCTATTTGTAATCACAGTCTCACTTCTGATGTGACACATGGGGTGATGGTGTTTCTTGTGTCCTGTCTGTGCCTAAGGACAGTGTCCACTTTTTATCAGTTTTACATTTGATGCGTAAAATAAAATTTTAAAAAAGTCAATCGACACCCCACAATGAAAAGTAGAAACAAGAAGCACAACATTTGAGTTGTTCAGCCCTTTTCACATTGCACGAGGCCCCCACTCGAGCCTGGTTAACTTCTCTCATTTTTGTTCCAGAAAATGGCCCCCGCCTTTCAGTGGTGATGGAACAGTCCAAAGTCATCTCCCGTCGCGGCGGCAACGCCACACTACCGTGCAAGTTTGTCCGCGATGCTGGTTCCGCCACCGGCCCCAGCCAAAGGATGAGGATCAAATGGACTAAGCTCACCTCAGATTACCTCAAAGAGATTGACGTCTTTGTTTCCATGGGCTATCACAGGAAGAGCTATGGCAGCTACCATGGAAGGGTGTTTCTTCAGCAGGCCACTGACAATGATGCCTCCCTGGTTATCACCGACATCACGTTGGACGACTACGGAAAGTATAAGTGCGAAGTCATTGAAGGCTTGGAAGATGACATCGGCGTTGTTGCGCTGGATTTGCAAGGTAACAGATTTACTATGTTTCCCGATGTTTTTCGTGGTATGGGGCCATTCAGCAAAGATGATAATTAGATGTGCCTGACTTTCTAATTGGACCTGTCATGGAAAAAACATTAAAGCGCATTTGTGACCGGTGATTATCCAGGATAGGACAGTAGTCACCTTTGCCTTTTCCGTAACATTTTTAGAACAACACTTTTTGCATTTTGCATTGCATTGTTTGATTCACTGGACTTCAGGAGCACTGTAGTGATCAGGAAAAAAAACTTCCTGATCATATATATATAAAAAATTAAATTTGAAAACACAAGTTTGTACAAATGCAATCCCAGTCACTTGTATGGGATCTGTGGTTTTAAACCAATGCGCTCAGTGTAAGAATTTCTTCTTAAATTATATTTGTGTATTGTTTTACCTATGGTTAATATATTGTTAATGAGTTTTTCCTGGTTTGTTAAATAACCCTTCATCCTACCACTTAGTATTTAAAATATTTGAGTGACTAAATTAAATTGGGAATACAGAGTGCCAATAGTAATGTCTGAAATTTACAAAGTTTCTGAAAAAAGACCTGATGGTGACATTTAGTGCAATTTACTGGTGAACCATAGCATGGTGCAGTCTGGGTTTCATAGTTTCTTCTCATCCTTTCTTGGAAAATCACATAGTTTTCTTTTAGGACATGAAGTTAGCATTCAAGGAGAATTAACTCTTTTATGACCTCTTTCAAATGTCCATATTATCAAAGTTTTAAGGACTACATTTTCTAGTCTAGGAATATGAACATTAGGAAGCTGACAATAGCTGGAAGCTGAAAATTCATATAAGTGCAAGTTGTACTTACTGTACAAAAATAATTTCTGTACGGTTGTGCTTGTAGGACTTTGATTCATGAGCAGTGTATGTAGAAATTAATCTTTTAATGGTAATTTATGTCGTTTAACATACATTAGAAATATCTTAGAAGTGTTTTCATGTTTTATAATATAGATGTGAAATATAACACTAGCATTTCAACTAATTGGAATAATTTTAAAATACAAAGAAAACTATCAAAACCAATTTGAGATTTCTAAAAATAAGATTCTGCAGAAATCTGGATAACTGGATATCTATTTAAATTATCAGGAAATTATTTTCATATGTTTTAAAATAACCCAAAGTAAGGCATCTAAATACATTACCATTAAAACATTATCATAGCAGGAAAATATATTAAGGTATCTTTAAATTGATTTAATGACCTCTACAAGCCTTAAAGTTGTTGCAGTTTATTTTAAAGATTTTTAAAACAGTGTTTGAGCTTTAAATGTGGGAGGGGGGAGCAGTGTGCTGACATAGCAGTTAGTGCTTCTATCTCACAACGTTTGGATACATTGTTTGATTCTGGACATGTGTCCAGAAACCACATGGTTTTATGGTTTTTCTGTTCCAGCTTCCTCTGGTTGAATTAAAGGGGAACTGCAGTCCCAGTTCCTAAAACCCGTTATTAAACCTCTGTATCTAAATAAATTTATGTTTTTTTTTAATTTTACACATTTCGGAACAGGCACAAAATCATGAACTTTATGAAAGTACTGTATGTGTCACAGATGCCGGACACATACAGTACTTCCAGCCGTGGAATGTTGGTTTCAGAGGTTTGCTCCAGGCTCAGGGGTCAGGCGATGTTGGGGATGTGGCCTATGCCGTCAGGACACAGACGTGGGGTGACCTGGTGCTAGGCGGGCCTTGCGACATCTGCACCCTAATACTGAGCAAGGAATACTGGAGACACAGGGACTAAGTAGGACACAAAAACCAATAATCACACTAGGAACTAGGAATAGGAAAGAAGTGGAGCGCTCTCTAGGGGTTTCATGTATACCAAGTACCACATCTCATTTAACTGTCAGGAAACCTCCAGGGGTCCACTGCTGAGAACTACCCCCTCCTCCAGGGTTATACAATAAACTTTATTAACATGTGGTAGAGGGAGCCGGTAGAGTCTTCTTGTTCTGAAGCATGTGCTTTATTGCAAGACAAGTGGATTGGTTTTCAAATATTGTCATTTTGGGATAGAACGTTATGTATTTGGTATTCACCAGTCTGATTATTTACAATATAATAGGGCCGCATGTCCCCAGCAGTTTTGTTGCCTTGTTCTGAATCACAGACAATGACAACAATATGGCGCTGCGCATACCTGGAAATGTAATCTATTTTGTGATGTAAATTGGAGGTTTTACATGTTACCATTTACATTTTACTTTCATTGTGGTTTGAAATGTACTCATCTACACCGATTCTTTCTAACCCTGAAACATGAAAATAGCATTGCAGTTCCCATTTAAATGCTGTCTCATTTGTCCCTGTGTGTTCGTGTGTGTACATTATGCTTTATAGTCTTGTAGGATAGGTTCCAGAAATATGAAGTGATTTTCAAATACCTTTTATATAAGGAGAGTTACAGTATAAACCTCTTCTATTTTAGACACAGGCTTACATTAAGTAAAATGTAAGCCTGTTCCTTTGAAACAGCTCCCATTGCAAATAAGATGTTGCTTACTTATGTAGTCTGACACATGGATGGCCAAAGCAGATCTCTATGGGCTGAAGCCAGATTCAAGAATAGACTATGAAAATTAGGGCCTTTCCGGACCTTCAAGATAGAGGTCATTGGCAATTAAAGCATCACTCAAATAAAGTAGCAACCAAATGTACTGTGCCTTCATAGTATCCTGTATATTGTGTGCATTTGCATTAATATTGTTTTACATGAGTTTAAATTTTAAGACACACTTGCTGATTCTTATAGCCTTCACCCCCATTTGAATTACCAGTGTGGTTTCAAAGAAGGCTGACCTTACAGTGGTTATATAAAAGAAGTCTTCTAGATATTTATTTTCCTAGTGCTCTTATCCAAATCAACTTTTATTTGTATTCATTTATACAACTGAAGTAGCCTGAAAAAAAAACGGAAGTACAGTATAACAGGGTATAACGGGAATGTACAACCAAAGGTACAGTATAACAAGGATGTACAACCAAGGATTTGAACCCCCAACTTTTAAAATGTAACCTCAGGGCTCAACCACTCCTATACCCACATCAACGTCTTACATTTACCTTTTAGTATTTATTCCCCAGGATGGCCTTTACCTGTAGGTGTTCAGTAAGAGTCTGAAAATCTGTTACAGGCTTCAGCTGTATTTTTGCTTACGCGCTTAACCGTTAATTTACCGTTGCGATTTGCAGGTATTGTTTTTCCATATTTTCCCCGCCTTGGACGCTACAACCTGAATTTTCTTGACGCGGAAAAGGCTTGCCAGGACCAGGATGCGCGAGTGGCCTCTTTCGACCAGCTCTATGATGCATGGAGAGGGGGGCTGGACTGGTGCAACGCAGGCTGGCTCAGTGACGGCTCGGTGCAGTACCCCATTACCAATCCCCGAGAGCCCTGTGGGGGCAAGGACACTGTCCCGGGGGTCAGAAACTACGGCTTCCGTGACAGAGAGAAAAGCCAATACGATGTCTTCTGCTTCACTTCGAACTACAAAGGTAGGAAGCCCATCTGTGGGATATGGCCTCCTTTGGAAGTCAGGGTGATGTACTGTACAGCTGAGTATTCAGTTAAAGCTTTTTACTTGGCCATTTTCTAAATTTAAGCATTGATAGATAACAGATGTAATGTATTTAAGTTAAATCAATTCGGGCAGGTGAAATTTAGTTTGGGCTTTCTTATCTTCATGCTATGCTTTGTTGAATATGGTGAAAACCTATTAACAGCTGAAAGGCTGCACTAAGTTGCTACGTACACATAAAAGTGCACCCATGGATTCTGAGGATGGTGAAGCTAATTTATCATATAAGATAGTAATTGCTTGTCAGCGTAAAGATTAATGACACTACAAATGCTGATCAACAGTGACTCATCTTTAATGAGCTGCAAAAATACTGAGGGCAATTTTCAGAAACCACTGCAAGTGTGCATTGCAGTCGTAGCAATAAAGGGCACGTAGCACATAGGTTGACTGAGCCACTAATCTCAGGATGAGAAAAACGTACTGTATGTGTTTTATACTATTTGATTTTTTTGTATTGGAATGCAACAGCAAAAAAAATATGTTCTCCAGTGTTATGTGAGCAAATATAATCAGTGTGATAAGTCACTTTGATTTTCTGTGATCTCTAGGCCATCTCCACATATAAAGTATGCGTCCACTCCATGTAGTGGACAGGGTGTCTCCTGTCACCATACTAAGGAGACAATTTGGAAATCCAGCTCTGGAATAAAAAGCTCCCCCCCTGCAGGTCCACTCGTTACACCTCCAGATCCACCAAACTTCTCACCTTCTTCATTCTAGTTTTATTTTTCTCTCTTTTTCGCTCAAAACCCATCTCTCTCCCCCTCCCTCTCTTTCACAGGACGTTTTTACTACTTAATACACCCCTCCAAGCTAACTTATGACGAGGCAGTCCAGGCTTGCCAGAAGGACGGCGCCCAGATCGCGAAGGTCGGCCAGATGTACGCGGCCTGGAAGCTCATGGGATACGACCGCTGCGACGCCGGCTGGCTCGCCGATGGCAGCGTCCGCTACCCCATCTCCAGGCCCCGGCGACGCTGCAGTCCCACCGAGGCAGCCGTGCGTTTCGTGGGATTCCCAGACAAGAAGCACAAGCTATACGGTGTCTACTGCTTCAAAGCTTTCAACTGAGAGTCCAGCTCCAAACCCGTTCATTTCCAAACACATGTGGGACTTCTTCTCAAATAGTATGAACTCATAATGTTACCAAAACTGTGATAACCTTTTTTTTAATTGCTGTAAGAGGAAGAAAAAAATCATTTTCATAAATAACAGAAACATTTTTTATAAACTGAAACCGCATTATTTCACTTTTAACCATTTTTTCAGATATTTAAAATTAATATAATTTTATCTGGAGTTCTATATAAAAGTAGCACTATAGCAGAACTAAGAGAAAAATGACAAAAAAAAAGAATGATCGCGTTAACATTATCCAAACATGACTCGATGGAGCATGCAGTAGCTTGAAATACCTTTTGAAATGAGAAACGGAAAAGCTTCTCAAAGTAGTGTCAGAAAGCTTCAGGCACTTAAAAGGCATTTTGAATAAGATTAACTTCAAAGTGATTGAATAATCAAATTGTGGACATGATAGTAAATTATGTACCATTAGAATACTTTTTGCATTTGTTTGCAGACACATTTCTTATCACCTACAGCTACAGTAAGTCAATCATTTCAGCCATCTCCAAGTGCCAGTCTTTATTCTGGATAATTCACGTTTTATAACATCCAAGGGCTTAATGCACAAAAAGAAAAAAACACTGCTTCTCACAAACAAGAAAGGAAATTCTTTCATCAGTTTCCTGTGCAAGGTGCTAAACAATGTACTACAAGCACACCCTAGCATTGTCTTTTGTCATCCAGAGTTGCAAAAATTATTTTAGGGACCAAACTTTCAACCTTATATTCTACTGCTGGTATTAAAAAATGTGGTACTCAAAATATGATCTTATTATTTTGGATTTGAATGCTTTAAGTGAAACTTAGTCTATAGCAGAGTGTGGCTTGTAGTTTGAAAAGGGCACATCTCCAAAAAATCCAAATGATGCGGTCTGTTTTTTGTTTTGCTTAAAGACACAGGCCTTTTCCAGATATAATCAGCATTGTGCTCAGCACAGACAGTTTGATGGTAAGCAGAATGCTAGCACTGTTCTCTAATTCCTAAAAGTAATTATTTAAGTTAAAAGAGAGGAAAAGTTAAAGGTGGCTTACTGCCAACATGGAGCATATTGCCCCTGTGACTTTGCCATCTGTGTATGGAATTCTATTGCTTCACAAAGGGAAGGAAAAATTGTCCCAAGTCAACTTCTTATCTTCATTATAAACACTAGCAGTTGTTAGAAGCACTGGAGCAATCTATCAATAGTAGATGTATACAGCTTCTCTGGAGAACAGCAAGCCAATGCTTATCACTGATTTCAAAGCAAGTACTGACTGCACAACACAGCACAAATGCAGCAGAAACATTTGCACCATGTAAACATTATTACTTTGCAAATAATGGTGACATGCTTGCTTAAACGTTTAAGGCGGACACATACTGTAGAAGATTGTCTGAAACCAGCCTGAAAGGTATCTGTTCTCCTTTGAGTGGCTTTTCTGTGATCTCTTTAAAACGTGTTTAAAATAAAAAAGCATAATATGTCAGCTCAGGGCAGTTACCATGATGAACTGCTGGACAGAGAACGTGTAAAAACAAGAAGCTTGGTTTTTGAGTTAGCCTGGAAAATGTTATAATCTTATCAGATATGTAGCTGTAATATTTTAAGATTTTTTGCATCAGAACACTGTGAAGGTCACAGATAAGGAGATTAAGGGCACGATAAACTGAAGACGCACCCTGAAGATTTTGTAATACTAGGAACTAAACTAGTCATTAGAAAATTGTTAGTTAATGGAAGAACCATGCAGCCAAATGACATTGCTGGCAATATCATGTATTCTTATTCCTGGGAGTCTTCATATTGCTTGCCAGCTTGTTTTTTTTTTGTTGCTAGTTTTCATCTGGAACCTAAATAAGTAGAATTTAACCAAATGGTAGACTGGTCCCATAAACGGCAATATGTCACAGTAAGTTTGAAAGTCATGATACATTCCTGAAAGAAATATCAACTATTAGTTTCCCTGTTTAGTTTGTGTACAGAATGCTTTACTCCATCAGAGTATGTTTTGCATCTCTGTGTAAAATACTTTTTGACCCAAATTCAAAAGAGGAAATAAAAACTTGAAAAAGAAGAACTGGTGAAATATTTTGCATTTATTTCATGTGCATTCAAGAGTAAATTGAAAGAAATGAAGTGGGCTCAAGTTTGCATTTTACATTTACATTTTGTTCGTTTTTATTTTTTTGGGTGTGTCAATTATTGTCTTAAGCTACTGTATATTTGCATGTCCAGGTAAATTACTTTGAAAATATTTGTTCTATTTTAATTTCTACTGTATTTGCCATCTTTACCAATAATGTGATAATAACTTTAGAATTATGTTCGGGTTTATGGTTATGTTTTTTTCTGAAAAGAAACTTTAAAAACATGGTGGCACCTTCTCACAGTAGTTAGCATTACTACCTTGTAGTGCTGGGGCTCCACGTTCAGGACTGCTATACAGTTTACGTGCTTAGCACACGTCACTCTGAGAATCTTTTCTAGCACCCCACCCACCACCCCAAATTCACCCTAATAGCATTTTCTCCCTGGCTCATGCATCATATGTGAAGGTGGATGTGAAGGTGGATGTGACAGCACCGATTTACGAAGACGATGTGATCATTTTCTCAACCAGGCAAGTTATCGCCAACATATGCAGTACTCCCTCTTCCTTTATAATAATGTCATTTCGATGAACTACTGAAATGACAGTTTGTAAAGTTTATACTCTCGTACACTAAAGTGCATATTGAAAACACTAAAGAACAAAAAGAAAACATGTAAATAAGAAAACCTGAGTGCAGCATTTAAAATGAAAATGCAAGAAATCAAGTTACAATTCTACAATTATTTTTGTTTAGCCTTAGCATGATGTTTAATACTGATTAAAATCCCATTAAAGACTGAAGAACACACATTCAGCAAACTGTTTAGTACTACAAATCTTTTTGAATTGCAGGCAGTAGGTTTCAGAAAACTCCATTTTTTTGCATTCCAATCTCCTATACATTCAAATGCAGAACTCCTTATTAAGCATGTATTCTCTGACAAGCTCCAGGGATCCCAGCCTGCTGTGTTTAACTAGAATTGAGTTTTGCTATTCCCCCTGTGGGAGGCCAGCTGTTGCTTTTAGCATATTTTGTCATTCTTATAGCAGGACAATATGCATGTTGAAAAAACATTCATTTCTGAATAAGCATGGGGACAGTCAATTCTTCCCTGTTACAAAATAAAGGAGGCTAGTCAGCTTATCAATCCCTTTTGGTAGTTAAAAGACAAAAAGATCTGAAGATATCATTCAATCTTTTGAGATGGCCAGTAAAAGAACAGCTATCCTATCAACTTTCACACACACCGTGGTGGTGACCAAAGATGCAACTAAGTGCATTTTCATATTTTCATTTAATAAAAAAGATATTGCTGCTCAGGAATCTATTATATAAGAGTGACCAGATACGTTTTCAGGCTCAGAGGAATACTCTACTGAATGCATCCATCTCTAGAAATGGCTTTACTCCTGGAGTGTCACAGTGAATCTAATCCACTCAGCACTGGGCTCAGCGCAGGACTACACCGTGGATGGAATGTTAGTCCATCGATGGGCACACATAAATTCATATGGAGGATTAAGACATGTCTGTTAACCTGTATGCCATTCTTTGGACTCTGGTATGTAACCAGAGCACATCCGAAAACACCACTCAGAATTCACTCCAGGATAGAATTGATATCTTAACAGTAGGATTAAGAGGTAGCTGGTGAGACAACATGCTATTGTGCCACCCAGGACCTCATTCAAGTATTCAAAAGGCATTGACAAAGTAAACCCTATGGACTACCTAAGAACCAGCAGTGAAACAAACCAAAAAGAAAAAAGTGGAAAGGTCACTTGCAGAAAAGGTTCTAAATTACCGAAGCCTTTTGCTGCCATCAAGAAAAAAAATCATGTCATTTCACAAATATGTGATAATCATCACTAATTCATCAGATCATTATTTCGGATTGACATGAAAATACAAAAGTTCTCAGTATTGCATTATAGTAAATTATGACATTGTAACAAGATTTTTTTTGTAATTACAAGATAGTAAATTATTGCATAATTTATGTGATAATCATGTGATGTCACAACTTTCATGAAGAACAAAGCATATATTATCTTTAGTTGACTTTCGTATTAAAGCTCATGCTTATAATTATTCTGTTCACATTCGTTAAAACTTTCAAGATTTCCTTATGACTAAACCCCAGTCAAAAGTAAGTCGACATGAATACTAAAGCAAAAGTTCCAGATGAGCTGTTGGAAGCTTCTAGGTTGTAACGAAAGTGTTCTTTCAGGACCCTATGCAGATGACACAAGCCGGGGTTGAGTGAGGAAAACACAGGGAAAAACCATGCGGGAGTCGGGAATGAAAACAGAGGGGAGTGTCCATGGTGCACTGGTGTTCGGGGGAGGTGTGGCTGAGGCAAACAGTCCAGAAATAGACTCCAATGGGAAATCCAAGACGAAGGCGAAAATCCAAAAACCAGGCGGTCCATCCGAGACAAACAGAATAAAAAAACAGGAACTCAAAAGCTTGACGGGACCAGCACTTCCAGGTCCAGGACTCACTTGGTACGGGAACCAATGCAGAGAATAGAGTGAGTGCCTGGCTTTTAAGGAGAACTGAAAAGAGGGCTGGAACAGGGAGCAGGTGCGGGGGATGAGTAGAAAACAAGGAAGGGCTGGAGCGTCCTTAAGAGGAGGGGTTTAGGAACATGACAAGGTGCTGTCATTGTAGAATGTAATAGGTTATTCATACACTGAAATGATCATATTTATCTTGTAATTATGTGATAACTTACTATCGTGTAATAACAACATCATTTACTACCTGGTAATGACAAGAATATTTTAATGCACATACAAGATAATCATCTTGGAAGTATGTAACAATTATCATGGAATTATAAGAGATACACATGAAATATTTTTTTCTTGAAGGCAGCAATGCACTTCTGTAGTAAATTGTGTAGCATCCCTTAATATCATGCCACATCTGTTTTACTAGAGACTTCAAAATTCACAAACAAAGCAACATAGACACCCTGGTCTCAGCAAGGGCCTGATCCCACCTAATACACAGCTCTGATACTCCTTTGTACCATCACTTCCAGATAGGAACAAAGTCTCCACCAGTCTCTCCACATGACACCAGGCTGTAACCTATAATACAGTCATGAAGTCTTGCAGGTCAAAGAATGAAGACAAATTAACATTTGAAAAGCATCCTAAATCTAAATGTTTTGGGCAGAAACACAGTGACAAACATACCTAATTAATAACTGTCACGGACGTCCAAAGGGACTAACCGTGGGGAGCAGGAGAGCGGAAAAAGACCCATATGCGTAGCGGCGAGACGGGAAAAAGGCCCGGGCTCATAGTGCAAAAGAGTTCAGGAATGCCGTATAGAAACCTATGCCCTCAGGGAGCGGACGTGGGGCGCCCTGGTGCTATGCGGGTCTCAGGACATCCGAACCTCAATGCTGAGCCAGGACAGAGTGCAAGACCCGGAAATATATAGCCCAAGGGAAGGAGAGGGACAGGAAGGACAGCAGACCGGAAACTAGGGACAGGACAGAGAAGGAGCGCCCTCTGGCTGCAGAGGGCGTGACAATAACTACAGCAAACTTCATCACGTGATTTTTCCTACATCTGATAACAAGCAAATATTTGAATTTGAAATGTAACCAATATTATTTAAACATAAAAAACAAGTGAGGCACAAATGGAAACTTTGAAGTGCATTTAAAAATGAGAACAGCAGGCATTTCTTTCTCTTCAAATTGTTTTGAGAGTACTGGACAAACTACAGTACCAAGCCATGTTTTTGAAGCCAATACTCTGACTTCTTTCAAGGAAAAGCTGGATTAGATCCGTGGATCAATTACTTACTAACTACAAAACAGTATCTTTTCATTTCTTGCCAATCCCATCTTCGAATGAAGAAAATTCAGTCATTTCAGAAATGCAAATGGCATATACTGAGGGTATAGTGTTCACACACTACAAGTTACACTTTTTTTTTTAATTCAAGGTATTTGAAATTAGGTGGAACCAGCAGCTATATCACTCTGCAACTCACAACTGACAACTCAATGAAGCTCAGGAGGTGAGAGCTTGGATGAGAAACCTCCTGAGAAAGCTGAAGCTGAAAACGTTTGCTGCTGGAAGAGGTTTTAGAGGGACCAGTAGGAAGCATCAACCTGTGGTCTATAATGGTCCTAATGCCCCAATAAAGTTTTGGGGACACTTAACTGTAAAAAAAGTGCTGTCCTTTTGATGAGACATAAAACTGAGGTCCTGACTCTCTGTGGTCATTATAAATCCTCAAAGCACTTCTCTAAAAGAGTAGTGTAGTTACCTCGTTGTCCTGGCCAGATTTCCCCCTGGTCTTTACCAATCATGGCCTCTCAATAATCCCCATCTATGAATTAGTTTCATCACTTCGTTCATCTCCCCAATGAGAGCTGATGTGTGGTGAATATACTGGCACACATTTGCTGCCGTCACATCATCCAGGTGGGACTACACATTGGTGGGGGTGGAGGGGAGTCCCCATTACCTGTGAAAAGCCTTTAGATGAGTGTCTAGCAAAGGCATTATATAAGTGTAAGGATTTTTTTTTCTCAGAAACTCCTTGCATCTGGATAAGAAACAAATGCATATTGAACAATTAATGAAAGTGGAATTGAGGAAACACCTCCTAGATTAGGCTTATTTTCTCCCAGTACATTTTGATGTCACAGGCATGATACTGCTGATGCAAAAAAACAGAATTACAGTACCTGAAACCTCACCTCGGAGAAGGGGGGAGTAGATTTAACTTCTCTCGCCTTTACTTTAGTGAAAAAGATGGGGAATGTAAAATGACCCTAGTGTAAATGAGAACCCAGTTTTTAAATAAGAACAGAGGTCAGGGTTTTGTAAGTAAAGGGCTATTGCGTAGAATCACAATGTGTGAAAAAGCAGCGCGAGAGTCAATCCTTATGTAAAGGCTCTGTGCCAATAGCTGAGAACTGGGTTTGGAGCTGTTTGAAGTCACCAA